CTAGTCCAAACATTCACGATCTACACTCCAATCAATTTTTGCTTTCCTTTTTTTACGAGCCGCACTTGGAATTATAAATAAGCTATTTAGTACTTTGAAGGTGAGTATCCTAAAATAGAACAGAATTGATGATCACAACAGTTTGTCCAAATTGAAAATTTGGTGTTTTTTAGACCCGTCACAAATATGCGTGCGTGACAACAACTTTACCAATGTTTACCTATTATTCTAGAATACTCTGAGATTCCGGACATGTTCAATTATGATGCCGGTAGGTCAGATTGCCCAGACCAGTTTATAGGGTTTCCTGGTCATAAATCTGGGCATCGATTTTGGGAAGTTTTTACAATAACTACCTTTAAAACCCTTGGGAGTATTTCATACCGGGGGATGCATAGGCTGGGAATCAGAGTTCCACATTCTGATCATCGAGAACGGAACAGGTAGGGTCCATTTAACTTCAGTGACTCATCAATGTANATTCCCTCTGCCAGACCCGTTGATCAACGCCCGAAGTCTCACTTGGTCTTCGTGATTCCTGGGAAAAGCGAGTACTGTTCGATACGATCATACATGCAAGATTTCTTTTGCCACCCTTTAATTATTACAAGAGTTCTGATTTGTCGTGAAACTATTAAAATCATCAAGTTACAACCTTGTATCCAGTAAGTGTTTCACTACACAAAAATGTATTTCGTTTATTTGAGGTGGGATGGAATTAATACAAAAAGAACAACCAATGATACGCTGAATCATCACGTAGAGTGAACGTGTCACTGAAACTCAGTTCCCTATCCCTATTCATAATTATTTGAAGTTTTGTGGGATCTGTCCACTTAAATTCAAATTCGGACTACGATTTATACTATCCTGGCTAGTGAGCATCACATGACACGACGCCCGTATACCACCAATCAATACACTGTGGGAGTAGAGTTCGAAACTGAAAATTCGTTCAAAGCGATACCTGTCACTGTCCGGTGAGGAGTGAGCTCTATACCATTGACTGCCGACTTGAAGTCAACTGCTGAAAACAATGCCGGTTAGCCTAAGGGCATCAAATTAACAGTCCATCGTGCCTGTGTTCGTATCCTAACGAACTGGGTTAATATGCACTACTCAAGATTCCGACGTAGAATTAGACGGATATGATGCGCTTCCAAGGGTTTCTCGAGTTCAAGTGATGTATTGAATTTGTACAGATTCATATATAGCAAAAAAATGAACTGTTATGCATAAATGTCTGAGATGCGCGTTTTCTGTTGACAGTCCCAAACAATTATGTGATTAACAACTTCTTAATAGTGTTCACTAGTTGTGCTTTGCAATCATTGTTTCTGAATGCGTTTTGACTTTATGAAAAGGAATCTGATTGTGCATCACGCTATGTACCGTTTGTCCCACTTCTGACGTCATTCTTGTACCAATCCCATGTTGATGTGAGTTTATGTCCTTGGAAGATTGACTACAAAACGGAAGAGTTCTTTCCTACAAACAAAATGAATAAGGTATTAAATTCAAACCGTTCTGACTACCGTAATTAGTTGCTATATTGCCCACAAACTTATTAACTGTCAACTGTATACGCTACAGAATCTACCCACCCATCAACGATTATTTATTCATTTACGCTCATTTTCTCAATCGACAAATAAATTTATAAAAAATAGTTACACTAAAATTGTCCGCTGAGAAATATGAGATATGATAACAGATGGGGTTGATGACTCCAGTCATGCACACAACTGCTGAGGCACTTTGAACATCGAGTTAATATTGGTTTAAAGAAGCATTAGGCATTAGGGTGATCAGACTCAAGTGAATGATTAGTGGGGCTTTTAGATACCCTCAATAGAAAAAGCTCAGATCGAAGGGTCATGCTGAAAATTGATGTTTTTTAATCCCATGATTTGCCTAGTTGTCGCTTGTTCCCAACAAAGCACTAATTTGGGATGCAGTGAATGTCATCAAAATCAATAACATTTATTGGTTCAAACCTCCAGAGGTGGGGTGGGGTAGATAAGTTTGTGAAAAATGACATTTAACTGAGGTACAGTGATAAACCATCCATCCTACCGGAGTGGAAAAATAGCTGGTCATGGTGTTTCGCCAATCCAGGAGACGGTATGCATGAAATGTTCTGCAGATCAAAAAGGATAGATTCTTGCTGTCTTCACACAATGCACATGTCCCAAACAGCAGACAGGATTGTGAAAAAGAGAGCCAAATNTGGCCTTTGCAAATGTGCTTCTCTGTACTGGGCGTATGTTCAACAATCTGTCACAAATGATTCAGCACAAACGCACCTAAAAGCTCAACTTTCTACTACTTTTTCGTCCAGTTTTACTCACTGACAGGCGTAGTACATCGAAGTTGTGAATATATAGCCCCAGGTACTCAGTATGCATCTCTTGCGAACTTATGGAACGGCATCCTAATTGGTCACCTAAGGCGCGAGAAAAGATGCGCTTGAGGGTCTTTCTATGAGATTTTTGATAAATGATTGCACTCCTAAAATAGTGGAAAGAGTTGTTGGATAACACAGTTCAATAGGAGCCATTCACGCTTTGGACAAGGGTTCGCAGGTGCAAGCGAACCCCTGTGCTCAACTCCAAACTGCAACTGCCTTGTTCAAAGTGGCTGACTAACAGCTCATAAAGCTTTGCTAAATCGGATAAGATTCTGGTGTTTTGTTCACTGCTCACTGTCAGTTATATACAAAGCCAATTGACGCAGTTAAACTCCTAAATCTCGAGTTTTGCCCTCATGCTCTGGTGAAAATATCCTGTTCTCAAAAAGGGTGATATCGGATATTCTCCAGCAAAAAATGTGCATGCGCCAAACCAAACGATACTAAAGTATTACTGTATTGATTATAATAGCAGAGGCATCTGCCATAATCAAAACGAATAAAAAGGTCTTGCTTACTTTTACCTGTTTCCCACATTTCCTTCATCATACACCTTCAACGTATCTCGTATCAA